TCCTTTTGCTCCTTCAGCAAAGATCTGGCACTCACAGAAGGATTTGTGAAAGCGGTCATTTTATACAACACTGAAGTCAACCCAACTGCGCATTAATAACATTTATAAAAATTTAATCAAGGTTTATAAAATATTAACAGTACTTTAACTTATTTTAATACCTCCTTCTATATTATTCTTTGTACATTTCAATTTTTAATTGTTGTGAAACTAGTGAACTAAGATGTTAAAATCAGACAGAATTACACTGAACATCCCCTCCTGTCTCTATGTATCTGTAGCAAGTAAGAAAATTCCTGTTCAAGCTCCTGTACATACAAAGACATGACAAAATCAGTGAAATACAGAATTTGATATCATTAAGTTCTGGAAAACAGGTTGATGTAATTCCTATTCATCTGTATTATTAAACTAAAGCCTTCCACCATATTGTATGAAAAAAAAATCTATATTTAAACCTCAGAAGATTTTTCAGGAATGCTCATAGTATTTTCCTTAACAAGAAACAAGTTACTCTGCAATTATCAGAAATTACAGGTGTGATAACAGGTGATAAAGTTAACAGAAACATTACAGATGACAAAAGGAATTGGTATAAAAAGATAGACTGAAGTTAATTTCTGGGCAAGATTTTAACCTTTTTTTGTTGATACCTGCAAAGTTTCTTTTTCATATAGGCATTTGCTGTGATACAAGAAAAAAAACCCTAGAGAAATCCTTTGAATACATTAATTGGTGCTCTACAAACTGCCAATATCCAGCTTGCAAGTATTTTATAATGCTTGTTAGCTCAACACAATCTTAAAAGAAAAGAGAGTTTGCACACTTTAAGAAATAGCTGTCATGGATCTGAGCACTCCCCTGGGTGTAACAAACTTTAAATAATTTGTGAATCAATTAACTGGCAACTCTCTACATAACACAGATTTCACACTGCCAGGTCACTGCATTATCAGCTTGATACGAATCATAACATTTTGGAGAAAAGTTCATAATTGAAATCATTAATTAATTTAACAGGAGCTTTTAGTAATGCATGGCATTACACAGCTGTAAAAGAGCAGAGATCAATTAGTTGTTTCTCTGACAATTTTCTCTACTTGGTGGAAAACTTTTCAGTTTGTGAAGTGTATTACTTTCACAACCTTTCATAACTATTTTAAAGTCAAAATGCTCAATATTATTATATACCATTTTAATGCAAGAAATAAAACTCAGATTCTGTGAGGAAGAACAAACTTTGAAACACCAAATATAATGTAGTAACCTGTATTCCTTTGTACTTAACAGAAAATTAAAGTATTTAAGAGGATCAGATATGTTTACAAGAAAACATAAAGAAGGCCTCAAATAATTGACTCATGTTATTAAATTTTCTTATTTCTAACTTAGCTAAAAAACAATACAAAAGAAAGCAGCAGCATTACATGTGAAATGCATCATTTTTATACGAAGAGAAGCATTTGCAAAGAAGGGAAGTTTTCAGTAGAATCGACTTGGTGACAGCAGAAGTACTACTACCTCTCCACAGAATTCCCTTACAATTATGAAGGACTAATACAGAATCATGAGAAAGATTAAAATAATGGAAAACACATTCTGCAGTGAGGCAGCCAAGTGGCTTACTCCATCAAATTTGTTGAAGGAAAAAAAATAAAAATCTTTAGATCAGAAACTAGCAGTATGCACAGGGGAAAGAAAACACGATAACAGAATTTTTCAACCATACAGACAAGCATGGCTGTAAACTTCGATTAACCAATTCAGACTAGAATTATGGCACACAGCTTAATAAGTGAGATAAATTAAACACTGAAACAAATTAACAAAATATTCTGGTACATCTGCTGTCACTGTAAATTTTTCCAGTCAGGCTACATCCCACAAAGATATATCCCTCTGGCCATTGCTAGAGAACTTTAGGGACAGTTCTATGCCTGCATTATGCAAGTCACACTAAATAATTACTGTGGACCCTATAGTCTTAGAAGTTATCAACCTCTTAAAGCTGTAGTTTTTCAAACATGCATGTGGGCTTTCACCACTAGACTTTCATGCAAGCACTCAGACAAGCACCACAATTAATCTCTGGCCCATATTCAGATATTCAAAGCTTCTTTGATTAGCTTGTCCTGAAGGACAGACATCTAAACCTTTAAAAGCCCACAGTTTGTAAAAGCTGCAGAGATTGATTTAGCATGGCAATCAGACTGGATTATTTTGATCTAAACTTACTATCAGAGCACAAGGATGAAATATTTTCAGTCACCTAACTTTTACCTGCATTGCCTATTTAGAAAGTAAACTTAGCAGCAATGAAACCTTCAGTTCAAGGGAGCTCTACTTTTAGCTGAGGGCTGTATATACAGTGATAAAAATAAAATAGGAAGATTAGGAATCCAATGATGCCCATTTCAGTAATGGTGGGCACCTTTAGGGAAACCACTTCGCAGATCTTCACTCCTATATTATAACAGTAAAATAAACATTTCATGATAGTAAATGATATGGAAACTAAGACAAAACTGTGCTAAACAGCTTGCCCAATGATACATAAATGGCAACACGGGGCTACTTTCAAAGTTGTGCTTCCAAGTCTGCTAAACTTGTTGAGCCCATGTTTCATTTCAATAACATTGTATATATATTTTCCAACACTAGACATAGGATATGTAATTTTAATCAGTATAATAAGTAGTATGTTTTAAAGAAAATATAAGAAATATTCTTTGTAGCAGGTGAAATGAATTTTCCAAAATATTGCTTCACCTCCTATAAGCTTGGCAAATGCCTCAAATTATGTTTCAGAATTTAGATCAACTAGTTTCTAATTCATGATCAAATACACAAAATAACACCCATTTCTTCAATCATCATAGAGACTTAATCATAAACACACTAAACTACAATGAAATATTTACAGAAGAGTAAGGACTATTTAGATATTAAAAAATATCATTATCTTAAATACTGAGAATTATAATTAGAAATTTTAAAAATAGGTTTCTTTGTACTTGTAAGAACTCACTTTTAAGTTTTCATGTTTAGGATCTGAAACCAGAGGACCTAACACATTAAAGTCATGTGTATACATTTATTACTTTTGTTTTTCATTGGACACATTTTCAAAATATTCAGCAGACCACAGGGTATCAATTATTCTAGAGCAATTATTAAGTAGTCCCAGTTATTTAACCTACATCACTTTTTTCATTTTCTTTTTGTCAAGAAATTACTTTCTAAACATACCACCTAACAGACTGGAAGGCAAATAGGGAGTAGAAAATATTATGTGAATCAGATACCCTTTTGGTGATTCATATGGAATAGTAATGTTGCAAATCCATTGCTTAGTACTCATCAGATCATCTCTCAGGGTCCTATTAAAAATATTAAGTATCTATTTGAACATGAGTTATTCTATTTTGAACATATTTGAACACAAGTAACTGTATTTTGGTCTGACTCAAATCCATATTTATGCAGCCTTATGATAGTTTTAAATCCAAACAGAAGTGAGCAGACCTTATACTTAATGTTTTCCAAAAACCTAGACTGCTCTTTCCTGAAACAACAGTGAGCACTGCTGCTTGCCTAATCATCCCTGGAGAGAATTAAGGAACTTGAAGCCTAAAGATAGGCAGGCATTGATGGGGATCTCAACTATGTTGGAAAGCAATGTGCTATAGAACAAGAATTCCTGCCAACTCAGATGACTCTCTTAAAAACTAAAGTACAAGTACAATTTCAATCAAACAGCCTTCAGAGACAAAAGGACAAGTATTTCAGTATTTGAACTCAAACGCTGGATCCCTCCTTAGCTGGAGGTCTGCAGCAGACGAGGAAAAATGACACGAAGAAATGGTTCACTATGCTTTACAATTAACTCTCTGATTGGCTGTGTAAGTGGCCAGATGTTCCAGCTCCTGTAAGTATGAGCACGGCTCCAAATTAACTAGCTGAACTGCCAGAGATATTGGGAAGGCCTAGTACTGTCAAAGCTGAGGAGCAATCTCTCACTTACCACATTCCCTCTCTCTTTGCTGGTTGGAGCCCCTACCACAGATCTTTGCTTGTGCATCTTCCCTCTCTTGACACGAGAAATTCAGCTGAGTTGCATCAGCCTTAAGGGGTTGGACACTTCCCATTCCAGTATGGATCACAAACATTTGCCAATTTCTTCTTGAGAAATCAATTGCACTTTTCCAGAGGCATTTAATGTGTATCTCTTATTCAGTCAGCACACTAGCCTCAAACACTCTGCCACTGGAACAAACAACCTGCCTTTCACATAGTCTCCTACAAGTTTGTGTGTTGTCATCGAGCTTCAAGGATTACTGTTTTCCCATTCCCTGAACTCAGCTCTAAATCAGTGCCGACACAGCAATGTTAGTTCAGGCATGTGTCTTCCCTTACTCCCACCAAGGTCTTTTGAATCTCTTGTGAGGATCAAAGCTGTACTCCTACTCCATGAAAGTTTAGAGAAATGGAGGGGGAGGAGCTTTTTGTTGTGGCTTTGCTTTGATACTAAATCAAATTTTGTGGGGTTTATTATTTTAGAGCAGTGCTTAGTGTCTTTCTTACACCTTAGGTGACTAGTTTAGAATATATTTTATAACTAAAATATAGCAACACCTAAAAAAAAAATTACAGAAATTACTGCTGGGCCTTTATCTTATTCAGTAAAACAAAGCTCCTTCCCTAAGTTCTCATTTCTTCTTTATGTTGTCCATTTTTCTTCTATCTCATATGGTTTTACATTTCTTTTAATACCCACAGCACCAATAACCTTCACAATCTTATTTTTAAATAGACTTCTCTTTCTTCAGCACTATATAGATTAACATATAGGCAGTTCTATTACTCTCAGCCTTTTGGGTTTGAAATTTTCCTTTTGAGAAAGATTTAGGCCAGGCAGGCTCCCTTCTTTGCAAAATGAGGATGATATGAAGGGCATGCTATAACTCAAAATGCAATTTGCTCTTCAAACAAGACACATTATCATTTGGCACGTTTTATTAAGGCACCACAACAAAAAAATCTGTGTCATAGAAAACAGGCTCTTGGTAACCTCAGAACACAGAAATAAAGGTTAAAAAAAGCCACAGTGGTCACCCTAGGTTAATCAAAAGTTAAGATTGTTTTAAAGGTGATGTGTTCCCTTATTTGTTACAAAGTACCCTTTTGATACCATGGAGATGAAAGGACAATTTTAACAAAAACTGCTTAGAAGAAAACACCTACTTCCCCATAGCTTTTATTCACAGAAAGTAATGGTCAGCAGCCAGTTGTCCAAGTAGTAAGAATATCAGCAAAATAGAGCATATCAGCAAACCAGAGATCAAAATTTGCATTCATTTTCAATTCCTGAGAAAAATAACCAGAGAAAACTGTCAAGGCATTCATCTGCCTAGTCAAGAAACACCAGTACAGGAGGGCTCTCCAGCCCTGTTGAACTGTCCCTGAGAAGCAGATTCCTTGTTGTGCCAGGGTTCCTCTACAGTTACCTGTGGGCCATAAAAAACAAACCTTTTACTCTTGCATGTGGTTTTCATACCTCCCAAAATCTGCCTTGCATTTCACAGGCATTACTGTTACTTAAAAGTTTGTTAATTACTACCGAATAATTAAATCATTAAGAGATGAGCCACTGGTATGAGGTATTAGGGTCCCAGTACTCAGCAGGCTGCTAATAAAGCTCTAAAACACCCACCGTATCTTTGAGAAGCTTTTGGATGTGTTCTACCATGGACTTGTTGGAAAGTTTGCCAAACTGAGTTTTAAGTGGAAAAATAGGTCCTGAAGTACAAAGATTTCTTTGACTGTCTGTTTTCAAAAAAGAGATTATATTAAAAGGTTTATTATTGTTACAAAACTGACCTACAACACGTAATAAAAGTGCAGGCTAATTTTTTTCAGAAATGGATTTTCCCCTCCTCTTTTTATTATACCCTATTGTATTTTGGGGCTTGTGGTGTTTGTGGGTTTTTCTAAATTATTTTGTTCCTATATTTTATAGTCATGAGTAAAATTAACTACATCTATAACACAAAGAATTCTATTAATCTTTTCATTTTCATGGGACCAAAATGTTCTTTGGTACAACAGGAGACTTTTATTTATTGTGTCAAGTTTCTCCCAAACACAGGCCTGACTGAATCAAGCAATGGATCTTGTACAGAGTTTATTTATGGGAGAGCATGTAAATCAACTTTAGAGTGCTGTACTACTCCAAAAAGGCTCGTATAAAATTCACAAAAATATTTTCCTGGGCTTTTCAAGATTTCTTCCTTCCCAAAGTAGCCACATCGCTGGTGACTAATGATGCCCTCAAGGATAAATAGTAAGTATTTTAAAAGTTTACTACTCTCAATGATTTCTTTTTGTCAGACATAGTCTCTGAAGCAAACTCAAGGGCTGTCACATGTTTGCTAGAAAGATACTGCCTATTTCAAAACTCCCACAGCATTAAGTAGATGTCTCTGGAGGTTCCTTTATGCATCTAAAAATAATTAAATGAAATATCTTTTTCTTTTTTTTTTTTTACTTTCTCTGTGCAAATTTTGAGCTTTTCAATCACCTAAATGTAATAAAGCCTGGTGTGATAGTACGACAAATTCTCCCGTTTAATGTCTAGGAAATTGCAGGAAGTTTATAATTTCCTTTGATAATCTGCTGTATTTCCCTTCTCGGGACATCCTGCAGAATGCAATGTTCACAAGCTGCATTTTGTGATGAAAAAATTCTTCTTACACTAAACTCAATTTTATGCCAAAAACAGCAGCTACTGGCCAAAACCAATGCCTCAAGTAGCTCAGGACCATCCTTGTACCTTACATTGTTACTCATTTGTGTGGATCCTTTGCAACATGAGGATCTTCAACAATTTTGAATTAATGGAAACGGTATGCTAAAGAGACCAAGACAAGACATAGTACACCACCATTACTGCACTTGCATTTTGGTCCAGGTAACCAATTTCAAGCATCAAAATCTCATAAATTCACGTAAAAGTGAATTAGCACAAGATCTGTTTTTAATGCAACAGGCAGAAGTTTCTTTCACATCCCACAAAGAACAAAGTTGAAGCACAGAGTGGACCACTTACTTTAGAAATAGGAAAAGGTCATTAATTCAAATTCATATTTTGGCTCGAGCAGAAGAGTCAGATTCACATTTTGATAAAAGAGGGAACAGTACCTCAAACATATGTAAACTAGTAAAAAACCATAAGATTCACAGCCCTCAGCTAAGAGATTTACCTTTTGAGATTTTGTTTCAAAACTGAGGTTGTGCTTGGCTGCCAGATCCTTTGCTTTATAGCAATAGTGAGGCCTAACCACTGAAAGATAGCTAAAAAACTCCAAGTACATTTCTGAAAACTATAGATTAGCACTTCCCTCCACTCGGGCATTTTCAAAATTAAATATTTCACAGTCATTTTTATCATAGCAAATAAAGTTTTGAGAGAATTTTTACTGTGTTTCCTCCCTTTTAGGAGAGTGTTCAGCTAATAAACATACTTGTTTTTCCAAACCATTGCAAGCTTTTCAATTCTTTGTGTATTGTAGGTGTGGCCTTTTAGCATACCATTCCAGAGATTCCATCTAATTTCTACAGCATCTACTGACTACCTCAATTTCTGGAAAAAATTTAGCTATTTCACTTGTTTTCTGGCATATATGGCTTTCAGACATGAGTCTTCCACATAGCTGCTTGAATTTGTACTATGAGATAAAATGATAAGAAGTAATCAGGGATGAACAATTTTATCCTTTTCTTTGAGAACTTTGTTCTCTGCCTTGGAATATTTAAGTACAATTAATAAGGTGCTCCAATACAAACACCTCTGTTGTTATGATGTGTCACTGTTTCTAGAAGTTTAGCTTTATAGCAAAACACCATGATGCCACCTCTTACACATGGATTTTTGGGGTTTGGGGTGGGATTTCTTGTTCAAGCCATGACAGAGTAATAAAAGCGGAAGAATCTCATCTTCTATACATTTTCAAGGAGTCTTACATTTTACATTTAAGAGTTATAGAAACAGAAACATTTGAAAATGTAAACTTTAAAGGCACAAATTTGATGAGGCAAAAATTATTCTTTTGCTTTGTTTTCCTTCTTTGAGGGAGGACTGTTCATTTAAGTTTTTAACCCTGGAATTCAATACAAGTTTTTCCTGTCAAAGACAGGATTCTCACTTGCAAGAGGAAAACATGAGCTTTTGCAAATACAAAAGCTGTATCTTTATGAAGAATTTCCATTTAAAACATCCCATATGAGTCCATAAAGTCAATAAATATTTTTTGGCTTGAAGCAGATAACAGATACATCCAAACAATTAGAAAAGGCCAAAATATATTATGCAAATTTGATGTATTTAGCATGAACTCTCTGCAATTTCTATATAAACAAGTGATTAGAAGGTTCGCTTCAAAGGCCAATGTGATTAGCAGAAAAACTTCACAAATTCACTCACTGCTTAATGAAGTATATGCATTTTTTTCCTTAGAGTTATCACAAGTTGTAAAAAAGCTATCTATTAAAGCAATGATTACAATGATGCCTCCTGTTCTAGGATTTCTTGCAACACTCACGTTTTAGCTCTGGTTGTCCATGATCTAGAAAAAAAATGGGGGGGTGGGGGAGAGGAAGAACGAGTGTTCATCTTGGGCTACCCACAGAAAAAAATTAGCTACATAGCTAATTAGAACATAGGTAACAATGGTTCAAATTATAGACACAGCAACAGGCTGAGAGACTCCTGAAAAACCTCTATCCACACACACTGAAATGTTTATAGTCAGGCATTGATAACTCTCTACCTTAGAAGCAAATATAGAAAAATTGAACTGGTTATTTTTCAGTTTACTGAACTAAGACTTTTTTCTTTTTTATCTTAGAATTTGACCACAAATGTTTTAAGACACATTTTGCAGACAAAAAACAGGCCAACACCTGTGAAGGATTCATTATGGTCTGTGGAGTAAATAAGTTGGAATAAACGTTTACATGGAGCAAGGCTAGAAGGAGCTCATATTTCCTTGTTTGTATGTGTTTTAGTCATACCCTAAATGCAATCTGTACATAGTTTTTTGTGGTTTCATAAAACGTTATTAAACTGTCCAGCCTGGTGATAGGTACTATATGATGCTGCAAAAGGTTTACTGTCCTCAAACTCTTAGTGCTCTAGAAACAAACAATCAGTTCCATCTGCAAAAGGCAGCTGAATAAAAATAAAACCTAAATTGTAGTAGAAAAGAACACGCAGACAGCAGGGGAAAAGGATCAACTGCCACAATTTATTGCTATAGTATAAACGGTGCGGCAACTTTAACATGGCAGGGCACTTACAGCAATATTATTCCTGTTAGAGCACTGCTCTGTCAGAGAAAACAAGAGTTCATTCACAGACATTAAATACAGCAGAAAAAAATTGCAGGGAAGTGATTTGTACTTCATGGCAAAATGGTATATCCTCCCCTTTCCTGTTTTGATCCATACTGGAACATACCAGTCAACTATTGAATGTAGTCCACTGTTCAAACGCAAGATTAAGTGAGATGCTCCATGGCAAGCAAATAAATTTGTTTCCAGTGGAATAATTATTCTTATAGAATGTCATCTTCTCTTACAGCAGAGAGAGACAGGTGATGACATTCAATAAAATGTGATTTTTATTCCCATTTTCTTGACATGAAGAGATGTATGACTTACTCAGCCTTTGAAATATATGCTCTGAGGTCATGTCTTTTTTTATTTTCAGAATGCCATCATCAACTACATAATAGTTAGGTGACTAGGAAAAGTGGGAATATTATTTTCCATTCAATGTAATCCTGCTTAAGCATATGAAAGAGCAGCTATTCATATAATGGGCCCAGAAATGTTGTAGTCTTTGTTTCTGTACTTTCAAAAGCTAATCCTACCTACATTTGAGCTACTTAGACATATCTACAGCAAGTTACTATGTGACAAGTGTTCCAAATATGACAAGCTATTATCTCTAAAGAAAAAACAAAGAAAAAAAATCTATAACTCTTTGTACCATCTAATATTCTTTAGCATTTTAAGTAATTAGCAGCTTATTCCAAAAACATTTGAACAGTTAACAGATTTGATACCTATGGTTAATCCTCATTAAAATTACGATTACATTATATAATTACATGTAAATAAGAAAAATGAATTCAATATAACTCTTACCCTTTTCAATGTTGGGCACTATGTTGGGAATCATACAGTATGTACAATTAGATTTATACTGCTAAGCTAAAAATATTGGTGAAGATCTAAAAATGACGAACAGTGCCTTTTAAATTAATGTCTTATTAGTTGAGTGAAGTACACTGACAAAGAATAATTTATGCTTATTCAAACTGCTCTCGACATCTTCAGGTGTTTCCAAATGAGCTCACAGAAGAGTGATTAAATGCATCTGATAACAAGCCACACATTGCTGAAATTACTTACCGCCTCATTTTATGATTAATTAAACATGTAGATTAAAGTTGCAAAAGAATTTAGATTAATGAGCAAGTTAAGTCTTGCTGATATAAGTGAATTGGGAATTGGATGCTCTGTGGAACTTTATAAACATGCATTTTATAATGAGTAAGACAAGGCTACATGTTGAATCCTGGCCACAAGGGCCTTTGACGATGCAGTCTTTTTTAACATGGTTTGACAGCTTTCAAATAACATTCTACTATAGACTTTAAACTTTGTGCATTGCTGTAAAACATGAGACTACATAACTCATGTATTAGGAGTACGATTATTTCAAAGCTCTCCAAGGTAATGACCCCCTGTAGCAGCAGCTGTTCAGAAAAATTACAAGCTCGATTGTTATTTTAATCAGAGAGAATTTAGTAGTTAAAAGCAGTTATGCAACTAGTAAAATTATACGACACTCCATCAGTAGCCTTATAGCATCTTTCATAGTCTTGTTCCTCCCAATTCCCCCGCCAAAAAACCTTAGTCCTATTAGTAACACAGGCTGCTCAGTGGTTCATGAAAAATTCAAAGTCATTTATTAAGTCTGATTCCTGTGCAAGACAAGGTAACGTTTAAATTTATGATTTTTCTTATCAGCTCCAATAATATCAAAATATGTCAAAATACCTGCTAAGTTTGCCAAGTGTCCATTTTTTCTCTTTTAAGAACATCTACACCTAATCCACCCAGCTTGGTCTGCATCAGAGAGCCAAGTTGGACTTCATGGCTTTGCAGGGCAAAAGCAAATCAGATAGCTCGCCCAGATGCGCTTTGCTTTGTACAGGATGCTGAAACTGAAACTATTGACTTATGTTTATGTTATTTGTAAAACTTTCCTCATCTACTGCATCAAATGACTCCTGCAGACTCATCTGAGGTGGCTGGATACTTTTAAACCAGACGTTCTTGTTTTTAAAATTTGGATAAGAATCAATTTCCTGGTCCTAGATGTGTCCTTTCAATTTACAGCCTATCTTCAAAATATCAAGGTCTATCCAACAAAAATCAAGGACAAAAAAGTACCAAAAAGGTGCATACAGCACAAATTGCTCACGAAAAACCTCAAGTCACTAACGCATGTTCATTTCTTCTGAGCACGTGTACCAACAGAAGTACAATGCCTTTTATTTAGAGTTCTACAGCAAAGCACAGGCCTTGAATGCTTTGGCTCCTTGATGATTCACTAAAACACTTTAGCATAAGTTAATTGTCAAACTTCAGCTGGACTGATGCACATCAGTGTATCACAACAAAACATCACAACTGACAGTTCCTACTTACTCTGTGCAGAGTGATGCTCCAAGATGGTATTTACTGCTCTAGGCCTCATCTGATTTGTTAGAAGTAGATAGTGATTGTATCATTTGGGGTCAGGCCTGTCCTGCATCCATAGAATCAGTGTTCCTGTTCTGTTTTCTAATTGAGTTTAAGCTTTTCATAGACAACTACTTGGGTAATATATTTGAAAGTATTTTATTAATCAATAAATAAATAATAATACTTATTGTGTATGCAATGTGATGAAAATTCTTAGAACAGGTTTCTCCCATTTGCTAAACAACTCTACCTCTACCTATGCATTTCAGTGCTGTTTGCCAGGTTCTCTGGCTTTCCTTCAGAAGACACTGCTTATTTCATTAATCATGCTCTGGCTTTGTAATGTAGCAGGCTGCAGTCATGTAAAAGCATGTAAAATTACTAAATTGTAGTAAGTTTTACTTGTAAGTTAGTTTATCTGTTTTACATTCAGCTTCCAAAATGCTGGGCATCTGTGCTCTCCTGTTCCAGTGTAGGTCAATTACATCACACTCTGAACACACTCCTAATATAAAAATCTCACTGTACTGCAGAATAAACTAGAAGCAGCAAAGTATGAGCTGAAAGTTTTATTCGTGGTATGCTGAACATACTCATGATAAAAAGTTTAATTTTCCTCAAATGAAAAAAAATAGTTTGCAGTCAAATAAAATGGCTTTACTGGAGTCAATAAATGCAAGTGAATGGCAAATCCATGGTAGTGGCACAAGGTAGGTTTGTGGGTGTTTTTCTATCTTTGATATTCAGTGAAAAAAAAAATCTCACAGTAGGTCAATATTTGATAGCAGAGAGCAAACACATGTTCTTACTTATTAGAAAATTGTCTAACCACAATGAATTTCATTATCCAGTTCACTTTTTCCATATATTTTTTGTGCTTCCCTGTCACATGCATTTAATGTATTCTACTGAAAGAAACTTAGTGTTTAGATGCAATAATACAGAACAGCACATAAAATTTTCAAAAAATAATATCCCAAAGGTTTTAAGAATGCACCAAAGTACAGGACAAACAAACAAATGGCAACTTGCCATTCAGCTCAGAGTTCAAAGGAACAAATATTGAAAAGGTAACTCTCAAAAAACTTTAAAATTAAAGAATATATTAGCTTTCCCTAACTTTTTTACCCGACAGAACACTTTTGATCCCTTTCCATGAGCTTACCACCAAGGACTACATTTCCTGGATTCAGCTATTTGCTGAGGGTGAGGCAGCTCCACTCCTCTCCCTGTCGCCATAGCACATTGAAGTTGTACTCAAAACAGTTAAAAGGAGGAAATAGAATCATTGCACAAACGGGTTTTTAAAGAGCAATCTGATCTCCACTGAAGCTTTAGGCTTCGAGAATACTACAAAAAGTACAGTTAGCTGATTAAACTTTTAATTAGTCAGTTAGCAAAGCTCTGTTCATCCTGTTTTCAACAGCAAGCCTCTTGTATTTAAAAGGATCCTAAAGAAGAAAATTCAAATTTAACAACAAATGAGAATGAATTCTCTCTCAAGTTTTAAAACAAGTGTCTTGGACACTTATAAGCATTGCCACTTTAAACTTGCAGAAGGATTTAGACTCCTGAATTGAACTGAGGGGAATTTTTCACATATTCCAGCATTCTATATAAATTATTACAAATACCAGGCTGGCTTCAAACTTTTGTCAAACCTAAAGCAAAACTCTGACAGAAATCTGCTAGTATTTCTGGAAGAAATTACTCATTGCAGAGGTCCTGGTAGGGTCTGTTGTCAAGGTTGTCTGAGTCAAGTATCTGAAGCATTCCCTAGATATGCATGGTGAAACTGGTATTTTGA